AGCAACAGCAGCAGCAGCAACAACAGCAGCACTAGCAGCAGCACCCGCAGCAGTAGCTGCAGCAACAGAAGCAACAGCAGCAGCAGCAGCAGCAGCAGCAGAAGCAGCAGCAGCAGCAGCAGTGGCAAAAGCAGTGGCAACAGTATCAGCATCAGTAGCAGCCACAGCAGCAATAGCAGCAGCACCAGCAGCAGTAGCTGCAGCAACAGAAGCAACAGCAGCAGCAGCAGCAGTAGCAAAAGCAGTAGCAACAGCAGCAGCAGCATTAGTAGTAGCAGCACCAGCAGCAGCAACAGCAGTAGCAGCATCAGTAGCAGCCACAGCAGCAACAGCATCAGCAGCAGCAACAGCATGAGCAACAGCAGCACTAGCAGCAGCAGTAGCAGCAGCAAAAGCAGCAGCAGCAACAACAGCAGCACTAGCAGCAGCACCCGCAGCAGTACCTGCAGCAACAGAAGCAACAGCAGCAGCAGTGGCAAAAGCAGTGGCAACAGCATCAGCATCAGTAGCAGCCACAGCAGCAATAGCAGCAGCAGTAGCAGCAACAACAGCAGCAACAGCAGCAACAGCAGCAGCAGCAACAACCGCAGCACTAGCAGCAGCACCAGCAGCAGAAGCTGCAGCAACAGAAGCAACAGCACCAGCAACAGCAGCAGCACTAGCAGCAGCAACAGCAGCATCAGCATCAGCAGCAGCATTAGTAGTAGCAACAGCAGCAGCAACAGAAGCAACAGCAGCAGTAGCTGCAGCAACAGAAGTAACAGCAGCAGCAGCAGCAGCTGCAACAGTAGCAACAGCAGCAGTAACAGCAGCAGCAGCAGCAGCAGAAGCAGCAGGAGCAACAGCATCAGTAGCAGCAGCACCAGCAGCAGCAACAGCAACAGCAGTAGCAGCATCAGTAGCAGCCACAGCAGCAGCAGCATCAGCAGCAGCAACAGCATGAGCAACATCAGCACTAGCAGCAGCAGTAGCAGCAGCAGCAACAACAGCAACAGAAGCAGCAGCAACAACAGCAGCACTAGCAGCACCAGCAGCAGTGGCTGCAGCTACAGAAGCAACAGCAGCAGCAGCAGCAGTGGCAAAAGCAGTGGCAAAAGTAGTGGCAACAGCAGCAGCATCAGTAGCAGCCACAGCAGCAATAGCATCAGCAGCAGCAACAGCATGACCAACAGCAGCACTAGCAGCAGCAGTAGCAGCAGCAGCAAAAACAGCAGCAGCAGCAGCAACAGCAGCAACAACAGCAGCACTAGCAGCAGCAGCACCAGCAGCAGTAGCTGCAGCAACAGAAGCAACAGCAGCAGCAACAGCAGCAGCACTAGCAGCAGCAACAGCAGCATCAGCATCAGCAGCAGCATTAGTAGTAGCAACAGCAGCAGCAGTAGCAGCAGCAGCACCAGCAGAAGTAGCTGCAGCAACAGAAGCAACAGCAGCAGCAACAGCAGCAGCAACAGCAGCAGCACTAGCAGCAGCAACAGCAGCATCAGCATCAGTAGCAGCATTAGTAGTAGCAACAGCAGCAGCAGCAGCAGTAGCACCAACAGCAGCAGCAACAGAAGCAACAGCAGCACTAACAGCAGTAGCTGCAGCAACAGCAGCGGCAGCAACAGCAACAACAGTAGCAACAGCAGCAGTAGCAGCAGCAGCAGAAGCAGCAGCAGCAGGAGCAACAGCATCAGTAGCAGCAACAGCAACAGCAGTAGCAGCATCAGTAGCAGCCACAGCAGCAACAGCATCAGCAGCAGCAACAGCAGCAGCAGTAGCAGCAGCAGCAACAACAGCAACAGCAGCAGCACTAGCAGCAGTACCAGCAGCAGTAGCTGCAGCAACAGTAGCAACAGCAGCAGCAGCAGCAGCAGCAGTAGCAAAAGCAGTAGCAATAGCAGCAGCAGCATTAGTAGTAACAGCACCAGCAGCAGCAACAGCAGCAGCAGCATCAGTAGCAGGTACAGCAGCAACAGCATCAGCAACAGCATGAGCAACAGCAGCACTAGCAGCAGCAGTAGCAGCAACAACAGCAGCAGCAACAACAACAGCAGCACTAGCAGCAGCACTAGCAGCAGCACCCGCAGCAGTAGCTGCAGCAACAGAAGCAACAGCAGCAGCAGCAGCAGCAGTAGCAAAAGCAGTGGCAACAGCAGCCACAGCAGCAATAACATCAGCAGCAGCAACAGCATGAGCAACAGCAGCACTAGCAGCAGCAGCAGCAACAACCGCAGCAGCAACAACAGCAGCACTAGCAGCAGCACCAGCAGCAGTAACTGCAGCAACAGAAGCAACAGCAGCAGCAACACTAGGAGCAGCACTAGCAGCAGCAACAGCAGCATCAGCATCAGCAGCACCATTAGTAGCAGCAACAGCAGCAGTAGCAGCAACAGTAGCAGCAACAGCAGCAGCAACAGCAACAGCAACAGCAACAGCAACAGCAACAGCAACAGAAGCAGAAGCACTAGTAGCAGTAGCTGCAGCAACAGAAGCACTAGCAGCAGTAGCAACAGCAGCAGTAGCAGCAGCAGCAGTAGCAGCAGCAGCAGGAGCAACAGCATCAGTAGCAGCAGCACCAGCAACAGCAGTAGCAGCATCAGTAGCAGCCTCAGCAGCAACAGCATCAGCAGCATCAGCAGCAGCAACAGCATGAGCAACAGCAGCACTAGCAGCAGCAGTAGCAACAGCAGCAACAACAGCAGCAGCAGCCACAACAGCAGCAGCAGCAGCAGCAGCAACAGAAGCAACAGCAGCAGCAGCAGCAGCAGCAGCAGTAGCAAAAGCAGTAGCAACAGCAGCAGCAACAGCATCAGCAACAGCATCAGTAGCAGCAGCACCAGCAGCAGCAACAGCAGTAGCATTAGGGCCGGGTTCCACTGCGGCTCCGCGGCTCCGCTGCTATGCGGCACTTGGCTGCATGTAGCGGAGCAGCGCGGTTCCGCTGACACTCGCCATTCGCGGATGCGGTACCGCGGTCGTGGTCCACACTTTTTGATGACGTTTGACCTGCCTGCGCGTGCGTGCGCGCGAAATCAAAAAAATCCTCATGTTCTGGCCTGCGCAACGAATTAAAATTCTGGCGTACAAAACAATGCAAAGTACGGGAAACAGGTCGAGCCGCGACCGCGGCTCGCAGTTTTGGGTCAAGACGTAGCGAAAGCTCGCGGTGAGCCGCGGCCTCGCTGCTCCAGCTCGAGCCGCGGTCACTATGGTAATGATGACGTTTCAGGCTGTGAAAGACGAGCAGCGTAGCAGCGGAGCCGCAGTGGAACCCGTCTCTTAGCAGCGGCAACAGCAGCATCAGCAGCAGCAACAACAGCAGCAGCAACAACAGCAGCAGCAACAACAACAACAGCAGCAGCAGCAACAACAGCAGCAACAGCAGCAGCAGCAGCAGCAGCAGCAACAGTAGCAGCAGGAGCAGCAACTACAACCTCACAGACAATGACAACCACGACTACATTAAGGCTGCCATTACACTGCGCATTGCGTAAGCGTTTCCGTCCAAACTTGTGTCGGAGTCTTTCCGTCCAAACTTGTGTCGGAGTCTTGAAAACACACTGCTATAGCACAGTACTGCCGGTCGCCCAGCCTCCTAGCCTCCTAGCTTAGACCGTTCTTAGTTTCATGTATTACAGTCTATACACAGTCCAGTCACTGTGTATACATTGGTATGCTGTGCTTGACGAAAGTCTAGCCTGGTGGTTCTTCGGCGCCCAGCAGTACCGTACTACACTGCATGTACTGGCGACAAAAATTGGAAAATGGTATTGCTCGTGTTCCTGGCTGGGTTAGGACATTGATGTTCACATATGCCGCTCTGGCATTCTTCTTCTTCTTCATCATCATCCTGCCCAGCCTGTTGTTACAATTGTCTACACACACACGCACGCACGCACGCACGCACACACACACACACACACACACACCTTTGGACCTTTGGAAAGCCCATCGCCAAAGGCGATGATAGCTATTAGGCGAGGCAGTAGTTCTTGTGTCGGGATAAATCATTCGGACGGCGAAAGTCGCGGCCGCAGACACAGACGAACACTCTTGGTTGGGGCTGGCTTGGTGGCTTCCGACGGCTACGTTCGCGCCAGTCCCTCCGGTCCTGAGCAAGGTGGTACCATTGCGCCTCCGGGATACCGGTCGCACGCAGGTCTGAAGCTGCCACATCTCTCCAACGACGCTTGGGTCCATGGCAGGGCCGCGTGTTAGTGCCCTCCGCAAACAGGATCTGCTTTGGCAACCTGGTGTCGTCCATCCTTGCGAGGTGACCAAGCCATCGCAGGCGATTCGCACGAATGGCCTCCTCCAGCGAGGCTGGCATGCCGCTGCGCTTCGCCAAGTCTTCACTTGACAGGTGTTCCTGCCACTGCTGGTCTCGGGTAACACTCAGGATCGTGCGAACACACACACACACACACACACACACACACACACACACACACGTACACTTCCGTCCAGCTCTTCTCACTGCAAATTGGTCGGCGCCATGTCCTTATCTGCGCCTTGGTTATCCAGCAACACTTGGTGCCAGGTATATATGAACATCCCCTCCATCTCCAGCAACACTTGGTACCAGGTATATATGAGCATCCCCTCCATCTCAGGTATATGAACATCCCCTCCATCTCAGGTATATATGAACATCCCCTCCATGTCCTCAGGAAATACATGCAATCTCAACGGCATGGTGGACGTGGCTAACTGACAGGCAGTGGAAAAATAAGCTTCCCTGCCTGTACGTGTGACTAGCAACAGAAGTATGTGGCGACAGGGAGTGTTCAAGAAGCGCTTTTCTCTAACCCCCCCCCCCCCCCCCCAACCAGCCAGCCCCACCCACCAGCCAGCCGCCTTTCGATTTCCCCGCACCTGAGCTCGTGATAACGTCACGTGAATTTGCCATGATACCGGTCAAAAAGACGGTGAAAGGAACCTGTGCCTGAGGTCACACAGGGCAGTGTAATTGCAGCCTAACAACCAGAATACTGGCAACATGAATACGCCTAGTATACCTGGGTGGTCAAAGTTGTAGCAGCCTTCATCAGCCATCTGTTGTTCCTCTTCCGACAGCTCCTGCGCGTGTGTGTGCGTGTGTGTGTTCGTGTGTGTATGTGCGTGTGCAACACACCAGCGTGCATGGACAAACAGAGCACATCAGTAGAAGCAGCAATGATCGCACGACTAAAACGTGTTGAATGTCACTACACTGACATACACACATCATGATGACTCACACAGCCTGGCAGTGGCTGCAATTACCATTAGCAAGAGTACATAAGCTCAGATACTAGGATAGCGCAGACCGCTAGCCTTCGTTGTACGCAGTACAAATCGTACTTAAACACGCGGTGTGAGTTTTTGCCGTCTGTCGGTTCGCTTGGCGTCTGCCGCATGCAGTCCCGTAATGGGTCGTATCCCAAGCTCACACTCAACTATCAACATGAAAGACTTATGGTTGATTAGAAAGCCATGCCACGAACCGACTATTTCGTTTCAAGCAACTACTAAAAAACTCTTGACAAAACATTACAGCGTAGCCTAACAAAAGGTACAGTTAAAAACCTCATGCCGCACGCACTAGGCTCAGACAGATTCTTCTCGGCTCGCATCGATATTTTGCAACAAAATGTTGCTGCGAAATCTTCAATATATTGCCGAGCCTGGCACTAGGAACCCAATATTTTGCTCCATTCTGCTCCGGAAAAACGTGCATTTTATCCACATCCCGTACGTTTCATAAAAATCGCAGGGTCGGTTTCTCAACCCGGGTTTTCACATACGTGTAACTGGGTTCTTCCAAAATCATGTCAATCCACAGTGAATCCCAGTGATATTCGGGTGACATGATATCGTCCTGGGCACTGTATCATGCTGAACGGGTAAGAAACAAGGAAATCCAAGTATTAGGCATCGATTTTACCCAACATCTCGATAATTTGCTCCGATTTTGCCGGCAATTTCCGCTTTTCAATTCTTCGATATTTTGCCGAAAGAATTGCCAGCAGGATCTGTCTGGGCCTGGCACGCACAAGAACACAACCAAAAAAGGGTACACTGTGCCAAAGCGGGCTCAGCGAAACTGACCCCAGCGGAATCTAAATCGGAGCCCGCTGCACAAGTGTGATATTAAATGAGGCATCGAGGTGCACCCCAGCGGAGCACATATTATATGGATACAGTACGATGCCAGGAGCTAAGGTCAAATCACAGAGAACAGAGAACAGACAGCATGACGACCGCAATCAAGAGTGCATAACCGGCTATGGACTCTTGCCGTAATGGCATTGATCACAACTAGAGAGGAAGAGAAAGCAGATCGCAACTGAACACGACAGAAATGCCACGGAGTTAAAGGGGAAGTATACCCTAAAATCAAATTGTCACCAGTTGTAGTCTTCGGGGTGCTGAGTCGAATGGTCTTGGTCCGAGGAAGCTGAGACGCTCCCTTCCTCCTTTATTCCCAATTGAACTGGCGCACTTCCACCGAAACTGGGTGACTGCGTCCTACTAGATAGGGATTTGTATGGAAAAGGTCACTAAAAACGCCGTTTCGTTCTTATAAAAGCGCGGATGACCGCGATTGGTCTATATGTTATAGTTTTTTTGGCCGCTGAGTCGACTGGTTTTGGTCCGAAAAGGCTGAGATGCAGCGTCGGCCCTTATTCCCAATCGAACACGGCTGAGTAAGCGGTCACGTGCTCATTTACAGCCTGTTTGGGCCCGTTTATGTCACTCGAGTTGAACCTTTGAACCAGGGAGTCGTAAAAGCCTCTTACGACTCCCTGCTTTGAACCTTTGAGTTGAATGTTGATGTGAAAATAATTGTAGCCTGCAGGCACAGTGACAGGCGACTGGTGTACGCACACACATGCACACGCACGTATACCCCCCCCCCCCCCACACACACACACCACACATACCCCCCCCCCCCCCCACACACACACGCACACACGCACACACACACAGCACTGCAAGTGCACACACGACACAGATACCCAAAACAGCACACTGAAAGTCAACAAGGATCACGCTAGAGAGATTTGCATACCTTGTAAAAGCTTTCCTGTCGTAGAATCTCTACTTGTCTCTGCGGAGCATCGACCTCATCTTGCCCCAGTAGCTGAACAATGCGTCTACATACTTCAGTCTGCACACACACACACACACACACACACACACACACACACACACACACACACACACACACACACACACACACACACACACATCATAGAATGTCATAGAAGCCGTGGCTTTTATACAAGACTTTACGGTGAGCATTCATTTTCTGCTGGAGAATCCTTCAAATAAAGTCTGAATGATTGACTCCCATTACGCTGGGACTTAGTCTCAGTGTAGGTGCGTGGTTTTTCTCTCACATTCTCTACGAATGTGACATTGGTACATGGCTTCAGGTAAGAATTCAGGCGAATATCTTCTATTGAGCGCATAATAATATCTGGTACGACAGTCGGGAAACTCAGACAGACACTGCTTAGCTGTTGTTGCTTATTTACGACAAAACAGCACAGTGTGGTGTGAGTTGCCTACCTTGCCCGAAGCTGTGCCTCCCGTCACACCGATGAGAAAGGGCTTCTTCGCAGCTAGCTGCCCGCCAGCAGTCGACATACTCGTAATTACCTCTTGAGCTATCAACGCGAAATTTTATAACACTCTGTTCGTCTGCAACATTCCTGTGACACTCTGTTCGTGATTATTGAATTGAGGGTGTGCAACTAGCCAGGGTCAGGGAGCTCACCCAACCAACTCGCTTTCACAAATCAATGACCACCGGTGCACCCAAGGCCACACTGAAATCGTGGAAATGCCGAATAAAAAAATCCCAAACTACAAGTAATACAACACGCGCGTGTATGTACACGTGTACGTGTTCAACATGAGCTCATGTCATGACGTAAGATCCGACTAATTTTTTTTCTCGATTCTCGATCGACGAGATACCCGTACCCCAGCAACGCAACCAAGGGCAACACACAGATTACTCAGTGCAGTACGCTCGCGCACCGACTGTGAGTCTGTGACTCGATCGAGTCGCGCGATCGCACTCCTCCTATCCCACTGTCTGTACTCATGGTACTGACAGCTACACAGCCCACAGCTACAGGTCTGCTTGTACTTTGTAGCCAACATGATGTGATTGTACACAGAGTTTTTGTAGTACAGCCTACACTAGGCTACAGCCTGTACAGGCTGTCAGTGAGTGGATGATTATTTTGTGGGTGTGGAGGCTCGAGACCAATTTAGTTTGTTCTTCATTGTGCCGCTTTGTAACCCTGAGTGGGCGATCATTGTAGTGTCTGTGAAGTCCACGACGTGCGGTACAGATCGTGAAAACAACGCTACTTACACACCATCACGGTGTGTGCTGAGCCAGAGCAATCAGGGAGTGGATAGCTAGAACAGTAGAAGCAGTTACTGTTTCGTGTTTGAGTCTGACTTCTTCGACAGCCATAGCATAGTGTTGGAGTGAATAGAGAATATTTTGTTTGTATCAGATCAGGGATCCAGCCAAGTCAAAGTCACACTCATACTCTTGCCTAGTGTAGTGGCGGTCTTGTGTATTCTACTGCACCTGCCAACGTCGAGAGGCTTAGCAGTCGCAGAGTGAGTGAACGTTCACCGATCTAACTATCGATTGCAGTGTACAGTCTGGTCCCCCTATCTGTGGCCAACAGCAGCAGCAGGAACAGCAACAGCAGGAGAACGGCAGCAGCAGTAGCAGCAGCAGGAACAGCACCAAAATACAATTTGCAGCGACAGCAGCTACTGCAATACTAATAGTTGTTAGCGAATATACCTGGCGTGTCGTCGGCGGTGTCGGCACTTGCAGAGGTATGGCGTCATCCTATCATCAGGAAGCTCTGAGAAAGCAGCGTGCTGTGGATAGAGCGTATCAAGCTAGAATGCGACTGGAAGCACAGGTAAATCATCATAAGTAATTTAATGGCATTGATACAATTATTATTATTATACCTTCAAGACCGAGGCTCTGCCAACCGTGGATGGTTGTAGTAAGGACCTGTGAGGTCACTGTGTTCCGAACACGGTGGTCCTCCACCTTCTTACATGCTGTCAATCAACATGTTTGCAACAATACACGGTTTGTATCTAATAGCAAGACTTAGTCGTAATCACGTGACCTGTACAGTCATACATGTACATCGCGTCTATCCCAACAGTGTGCGACTGGGCGGTGGGCACTGTCCAAAACTTCTTTTTTTTTAACAGATTTACAGACAAAGTCTCATTAAAATGGCACAAGGCAGGTAAAATGTGTGTAAATCGGAATGAATTCGTAAATCGGAATGAATTCGTTGTTGTCATCTTCATTTGGTCCGTCAATGCATAGTCGTCGGCAAGCATCCTGGACCACACGATGATCGTGTGGTCTCGTCGGGTCAAATGAAATGCCCATTAGGCTGCAACCACACTACGTACAAAATCAAGTACGCATTTGCGTTCAGCTTTTAGATAACGCAAAGTCGCATCCACACTGCCATTTCATGCGCAAGGAATTCTTGCGTTTGTCCACGTTTCTGGGTCCCAGAAAAAATCGCCCTGTGAAAATTTATGCACTACATGTAGTAGTTTGAAAAAGAGTCGCGAGCACCTTGACATACACGTTCAAGGCCTCGGTCATCTCCTTCTCTTGGCTGGTCCGCTCTAGGCTATCATCTGGCCCTGCCTCGTCTTCTGGTACGCTGCCCCAAGCTGCATGAGCTTCTCAGTTCGAGATTATCAGCGAAATACAATGTAGTTGCACGGCATCTCGAACTAACAACAGCAGGCAACAGTACTGTCCGGAAATTATACTGAAAGCAAAGCCCAGGCAGATGAAATCTGAAATACTACAAACTGACAAGGAAGCCGTCTACTACTGACACAGTGCAAGCCTCAAGAAGAATTTTATGAAACATCTACCCGTATGAAGAACCGAGCGAAACGCAAGGAAAAGGCGAAAAGTTGCTTTCTACAGGGGTACCCGGTTTGCTGAAACGAAACGCAGTACGTTTTGCGTTTCGCACGCGTTTCCTTGACGACATAAGCAGAAAAGTTGCGTTTACGCAGTTTTGTACCTAGTGTGGTTGCAGCCTTACTTAATCTGAATCATATACAGTACATTTTGACGAGGGACATACAGTACATGATGGTACAATGTAGCAGCCACATTGGCGTAGCTGGTCCCCCTTATAGGGGGGGGGGGGGGTGCACAGCCGCATACATGTATGGCAGTTGCATGCCATTCATGGTCATGATGTGCATGCTGAACCTACAGTACATGTACGTCGAAATTTTTAGGGGGGCGGGGGGGGGGGGAGAGTGCACGTGCCCCATGCGGACTATGCGCCTGGGCTAATCATAGGGGGCTACCAACCAACCAGCTGAGGAGGTGAAATGCATACCCGGTGCCCCCCCCCCCTCCTTGCTCGCACGCCAACTGTTTGCCTTTGTACATGTACATAATTTGGTGTACACGTATTGTTCTCTGCGTACATGTGTGTGTATGTGTGCGCATTATTACTAGGGTATGTACGTGTTCATTTACATGTATGTGTGTTTGCGTGTGCGTGTGTGTGTGTGTTTGCGTGTGTGTGTTTGCGTGTGTGTATGCGTGGCTGTGGGTGTATACATATACATGTACATGTATGTGTATGCGTGTGCGTGCGTGTGTGTGTGTGTGTGTGTGTGTGTGTGTGCGTGTGTGTGTGGTGTATGTATGTACATGTATGTATATATGTGTGTGTGCCTTCGTGTATTCCTAGATGAGAGAGCAGAGTCGGTTGACATCCCCGGCATTGCGTCCGGCTGCACCAGTACCAACTGAAGAAGGTGAAGAAAGCGATGAAGACAACATCGGACAGCTAGCTACACATTCTCGCCACTGTGATTCCGAAAGAGGCACTCGAACATCATCACAGAACGGTCAGTATTGTTGTACAGGCATCACACAAGTATTGTGCTCTCCACGGTATAAGCCCCATCCTAAAGAAAATTGTCACAAAATGCAGACCGGCTCTATGCTATTATCACCAGTACTTTAACCATAGTAGTAGAAGCTGCAGAGACGTTTTTGGGTAAACTACTGGTGTTAAAAGATTTTTTAAATGCGCCTTATACTGCCGAGAATACGATAGCACATCAAACTTTTGGGACAAGGGGGAGCAGGGGCCAATGCGAAAGAAACGCTTGGCCATTTGTATTGGAAACTGGACGAGGAACTCGATGTTGTGGAGATCCAACATAGTGTGGGTGTTTCGAGGAATTTTGACAATTGTATTCTAAGAGACAACCTCAGTGTCTCATATAGAAGCCGGGCTTATTCTTGTACAAGCTAATGTCAGTGCTAGGCTCCTAATTCAATCAGGTCTGTATTCAAACCAGGTAGTTACATGTGTATGTACATCTACAGCCTCCTGTCTACAACATCCACACACCTTGCTCACTACATCCTGCCTACAACATCCACACACCTTGCTCACTACATCCTGCCTACAACATCCACACACCTTGCTCACTACATCCTGCCTACAACATCCACACACCTTGCTCACTACCTCCTGCCCACACCAACCACTCATTCTGCGCTAACATTGCACTGCTAGCCCTGTCACTGCCTCTACACCCCCCTGCCTTCAACAACCACACACTCTGCACACAGCCTCCTGCCTAAAATAACACCGCTAGCCCTGAAACCTATAGAGCCCCCACATTCACACACAGCTTTCCACGCAGTGCTACAAGACCCACCCTCTCCTGGCAGATATACCGATATGGCCAGTACCATCCTCATGTTGCCTGATGATTGCGAAAGCATGAAACTCTGAGTAGCGACTACCGTATTTCCCCGATTGTAAGTTGCACTCCTATTTTCTAGGTCTATGTCATATAGTTCGAAATATTCACTTCAGTAGTGATCATGTTCGATTGTAAGTCGCACCCCCTTTGTTGACCGTGAAGTTGAGTGTACAAAGGTGAGACTTCTATTGGGTGAAGTACGGTAACTAGCCATGATCGCCGATCGCCCTTGTTGCTCTGTGTATGTAGTTCAACTACTAAACCAGGCTTATGTACCGACGGTGCATCTGGAAAACTAGGCCTGTATTCAAAACAGGCTTCTATTCAAGACAGGCTTTCAGGACACTGTGGTATATGAATCATGCTGCTTATCAGGGTTTGCCTGCTAGTATCTAGGGAGACAATCCAAGATCATCATACTGTATCCGAAACGATGTGCCTTACGATCCGGTGTTGTTGCTGATATTATGTAACACTGCATGCACAGTTACATCTCCCCCCCCCCCCCCTCCCTCTGCCATCCTATGTAGACCTAGCTAGAACCCTGGCTAGAACCCTGGCACAGTGTGCCTTGTCCAGGTGGAATCCTGATAATTTGAATATGGCTTAATCCGAACATACCGCTTAATTAGAATTTTTTTTCCAGGACCGATTTCTGTCAATTCGAAGTTAGCCAAGTGTAATTCGAAGTTCACTGTACACTGTACTGGTCAGTGCAGTTTGCATGAGCAGGCTGTGCCGGTCAGTTCAGTATCCGTGAAATCTGTGTCTAAGGTCCATAGCGCAACTCTGCGTGACCATGAGAGCATTTTGACATACATATTGTGTTGTGGGTTCATGTTTGGATAATAAGAATGTCCGGATAATTAGAAGTTTTTTCCTGGCATTTTGAGGTTCGAATTATCAGTATTCCACCTGTATGTGTTGTTGTATGCCACACTGCAGACGTGGCTAAAGCCATGGCACCTTGTATATGTATGTGTTGTTGTATGCCACACTGCAGACGTGGCTAAAGCCATGGCACCTGTATATGTATGTGTTGTTGTATGCCACACTGCAGACGTGGCTAAAGCCATGGCACCTTGTATATGTATGTGTTGTTGTATGCCACACTGCAGACGTGGCTAAAGCCATGGCACCTTGTATATGTATGTGTTGTTGTATGCCACACTGCAGACGTGGCTAAAGCCATGGCACCTTGTATATGTATGTGTTGTTGTATGCCACACTGCAGACGTGGCTAAAGCCATGGCACCTGTATATGTATGTGTTGTTGTATGCCACACTGCAGACGTGGCTAAAGCCATGGCACCTTGTATATGTATGTGTTGTTGTATGCCACACTGCAGACGTGGCTAAAGCCATGGCACCTTGTATATGTATGTGTTGTTGTATGCCACACTGCAGACGTGGCTAAAGCCATGGCACCTTGTATATGTATGTGTTGTTGTATGCCACACTGCAGACGTGGCTAAAGCCATGGCACCTTGTATATGTATGTGTTGTTGTATGCCACACTGCAGACGTGGCTAAAGCCATGGCACCTTGTATATGTATGTGTTGTTGTATGCCACACTGCAGACGTGGCTAAAGCCATGGCACCTTGTATATGTATGTGTTGTTGTATGCCACACTGCAGACGTGGCTAAAGCCATGGCACCTTGTATATGTATGTGTTGTTGTATGCCACACTGCAGACGTGGCTAAAGCCATGGCACCTTGTATATGTATGTGTTGTTGTATGCCACACTGCAGACGTGGCTAAAGCCATGGCACCTTGTATATGTATGTGTTGTTGTATGCCACACTGCAGACGTGGCTAAAGCCATGGCACCTTGTATATGTATGTGTTGTTGTATGCCACACTGCAGACGTGGCTAAAGCCATGGCACCTTGTATATGTATGTGTTGTTGTTTGCCACACTGCAGACGTGGCTAAAGCCATGGCACCTTGTATATGTATGTGTTGTTGTATGCCACACTGCAGACGTGGCTAAAGCCATGGCACCTTGTATATGTATGTGTTGTTGTATGCCACACTGCAGACGTGGCTAAAGCCATGGCACCTTGTATATGTATGTGTTGTTGTATGCCACACTGCAGACGTGGCTAAAGCCATGGCACCTTGTATATGTATGTGTTGTTGTATGCCACACTGCAGACGTGGCTAAAGCCATGGCACCTTGTATATGTATGTGTTGTTGTATGCCACACTGCAGACGTGGCTAAAGCCATGGCACCTTGTATATGTATGTGTTGTTGTATGCCACACTGCAGACGTGGCTAAAGCCATGGCACCTTGTATATGTATGTGTTGTTGTATGCCACACTGCAGACGTGGCTAAAGCCATGGCACCTTGTATATGTATGTGTTGTTGTTTGCCACACTGCAGACGTGGCTAAAGCCATGGCACCTTGTATATGTATGTGTTGTTGTATGCCACACTGCAGACGTGGCTAAAGCCATGGCACCTTGTATATGTATGTGTTGTTGTATGCCGCACTGCAGACGTGGCTAAAGCCATGGCACCTTGTATATGTATGTGTTGTTGTATGCCACACTGCAGACGTGGCTAAAGCCATGGCACCTTGTATATGTATGTGTTGTTGTATGCCACACTGCAGACGTGGCTAAAGCCATGGCACCTTGTATATGTATGTGTTGTTGTATGCCACACTGCAGACGTGGCTAAAGCCATGGCACCTTGTATATGTATGTGTTGTTGTATGCCACACTGCAGACGTGGCTAAAGCCATGGCACCTTGTATATGTATGTGTTGTTGTATGCCACACTGCAGACGTGGCTAAAGCCATGGCACCTTGTATATGTATGTGTTGTTGTATGCCACACTGCAGACGTGGCTAAAGCCATGGCACCTTGTATATGTATGTGTTGGTGTACTATATTATGCCACACTCTGTTCAGGGTCACGGCAAGGAAGCAGGACATCAAGTCGCACCACCACCAACAGCAGCAGCAGTTCTCGCTCAAGTCACACTGGAGACCGGAACGGCCGATCGTCCTCCGGCAGCCGTAACGCCAGTCGGCAAGGCAACGGAATCCGGCAATCGCCAGTGGCAACGCTGAGCCCGGATGCACTGGTGGAGCGTGACCTTCGGAAGAGTGAGCTGCTTCTCCGTGACAACAACCTTGTTATGGGGCGTGTGAACCCCAAGGAGGCCCTTCTCGCTGATTACTGACCTGTTTTTAAAACAACACTGTGCTTTGCCTCGATCATTCCCAGGTCTTATGTCACTGGGTGGTGATGAGTGTCTTGTGTCACTGGGTGGTGATGAGTGTCTTATGTCACTGGGTGGTGATGAGTGTCTTATGTCACTGGGTGGTGATGAGTGTCTTATGTCACTGGGTGGTGATGAGTGTCTTGTGGACGATGATACGTCCGACACTCTGCATGCGTGTTTAGCACCTGGTCCGCTACAGTTCTTCTTTGCTGCACAAACACATTATGTGTGCAGGTGTGTGCACGCGCGCACACGTTTGTGTGTGTGTGTGTGTGTGTGTGTGTGTGTGTGTATGTCTGTATGTCTGTGTGCGCGTGTGTGTTTTGCGTATTTCCCCCAGCTCGTTCCGTGCTTGCTCTCTACCTGCATCCCCCTGTTGAGCTCTACCTCTGCTCTGTCTTCATGCTTTCTGTCTCTGCTCGGTCTGCCTCTGCTCTCTCTGCCTCTGCTCTCTCTGCCTCTGCTCGGTCTGCCTCTGCTCTGTCTGCCTCTGCTCTCTCTGCATAATGTTCTCTGTCTGCCTCTGCTCTCTCTGCATAATGTTCTCTGTCTGACTTCTTTCTGTTTCTGTTCAACTTTACCTCTGCTCTGCCTGTTCTACCGTGATCTCTGTTCTGTCGGCACGTTCTCTGCCTGTACTCTATCCCTGCTCTGCCTCTACATAATCATTTATTATATGGAGAGACGGAGCAGAGATGGAGTACAGACACTGGGAAAGAGATGGAGAACATACAGAGCAGAATCTATGAATGGATTATCTGCCCTTCTGCCATGTTCTCCGTCTGTGCGCTGCCTCTGCACATCTTGACCCCCTATTTCGAAGTAGCTACAGTCGTGGCCAAAGAAATCCGACCCGCGTGACGGCGAGCTGAAAGCAGCGCCAACGCTCATGCGGCCTCTGTGGCCGTGGGATCCGATGGGTTTTGCACCGACCGTGCATGATGTCAACTTGACGCTAATTTTGATTCGCCACGACAGTTCACAGTTAGGCTGGAAATATCTCAGGACTAGAGCTAGGTGACCGGTTTACTCACGGTTTCGATTTATGATCAGGGCCCAAGTTATACATTGAAACCTGTCTAAGACGACCGCTCAAGGGACCTGCAGAATGTGGTCTCTGTTGCCAGGTGGTCTCCTTATCCAGGGTCGTTTGGCTGCAAATACTGAAATAGCATCCTTTGGTCCTGGTTACAGTGGTCTTCTGACCCTTTATAGCGAACAGTTTTCGTTTGTCGAACCAGATCTTGTCGGCCGCATTTAAACCAAACTGCATTCATACTGCCGTCTGCCGACATGTCATGCATGGACCAGTCATGATTTGCTGCTTGTATGGTGTGAGCGCATTTCTTCTGCTATAAAGAACTACAATGCCATGTCAATGGTGTTCGACTGTACTGGTCTGCGGTGTTTAGATCATCTACGTGTACGTGTGTGTGTGTGGGGGGGGGGGGGGGGAGGGGAGTCACTTGGTCGGTGCATAGATGCTGCGCTGTACAGTAATATCGCACATGCACAGCCCAAGGATCAAGGACTCAGCCTTCGAAGGAGTCAAAAAGGGCTTTCCCGATACGCGCGCGATGTCGGAAAATCACGAGTAAGGTGATAAGACCGAGAGAGAGAAATGGGGAACCTATTTGGATGGTGGGCAACAGAACAAAAGCAGACCCTTCCTGCTCTTGCGAAAGCGAAGGAAACGCTACGTGAGTTGGCGGAAGAGTCTGGATTGCAAATCAGCGGTGGACTGGCTGGCGATGTAGCAATTCCATTACAAGAGATATTCGTCAATTTAGCATTGGCGACCGAGGACGAATTGAAATCGGAACTTGACGAGCAGTTGTCGTTCTCCACGTACGCCGAGAGACGTGAATACGCTGTGCAATTTAGCAAAGCAGATCGTATTGCATTGAAGAACCTGTTTCGTGCCGAAGGTTCGAGTGATGATGCCGTTTCCCATTCAACAGGAAAAACTGCACCAGCAGCAGCAGCTACAGCGACCGAATCGAGAAATCTCTCTGGCAAGGTGTTACGGAATGTACTGGCGTACGGATCTGCTGGTAGTGGCAAGACCACAGTGTTTCTGCTCATGGTTCTATACCTGTGGAGCAGAGGCGAACTGTGGCAGGAGGAATTCGACCTGGTCGTAGGACTGGAGCTCCGTGAAAAAGAGGTGAGAGATGCCTCTAGTCTTGCTGAGCTGTTGGCTGTGAAACTGGCGAGCCAGGGCCTGTCGCAGGCTGAGATATTGGAGCTGGCAAGCTACTTTGAAGATTCTCCAAGCCGTCTATGTGTCATCATGGACGGCTTGGATGAATGTGATTTCGCCAGCTGCAGTAAGTTCATGAGAGACTTGCTGAAACGTGAGGGCATGGTGAAGACACACGTGATCATCACAAGCCGTCCATGCCAGGATGCATATCAACTATCGCAGTGCGGCAAATATCAGCAGAAGATTCAAGTACTGGGTTTCTCACCGGAGAACGTGAGGGAGTACGCAGGGAAGGTTCTCGGTGTACAACGTGCTGAAATTCTGCTGGCAGAGCTGCAGAGCAAGCCGGATGTGGCATGTCTTATGGCAACTCCCATGTTTGCAGCCCTAACATGTGAGCTTTTCAAGAGCAGCAATGCCGTCTGGAAGTGCAGCGCATCCCTGTACGAATCGTTACTGCGCCGAGTCGTAGAGCGTGCTGGTGGTGCGGTTTGCGAGTCGATTTCACTGGCACCCAGCAAAGTGGTCCAGTCGCTACAGGAACTGGGACGTTTTGCGTTTCGCATGCTGCTGGTGAAAAGGATTGTGTTCAACACATCCGACATCGACAACTCCCACTTGAGCAAGGATGCAATGAGCTTGGGTCTTCTGCAAACATGCCAGGGCACAATGTCTACGGACGCTCGGCAATACCGCTTCTGTCATCTGTCACTGCAGGAGTTCCTGGCGGCATGGTTTCAGGCAGAATGCGTGGTGCAAGAAAGACATCACGCCATTGCACTGTTACGGCGACTGGGCGCGTACGATGGCCATATGGCAATGTTCTGGAAGTTTCTCATTGCTCTATGCCCGGAAGACGTGTCGCTGACCATCATGGAGGAGCTATGGCGTGTGCAGTGTGTGGATCCCATACCACTGGATCCTAGCAGTGAGGACGACGAATCCACCAAACAAGCTAACAGATACGCCAGCGACGGGCGAGAGGAGCGGGCTTCCAAAGCGACTACGAAGGCTACCAAACATGCTGCTACTGCCGCTAGACGTACTGCCACGGCTGCTAAGCTAGCCGAGGACATGCGCAACGACTCAAGTGTCCTGACTGGTGAGATGGAGATGGCAAAAGTCCACGACCGTCTTTGCCAGGTACTGAAGGCTGAGCACATGACAGTCCTTGCCGACATTCTCCTCATTCCTCGGCATGATCGTGGCAAGGGCCATGGTGAGCAACGTGTGTGCCGTTCCATGCCCATCAGCCGAGAGCCCACAGGCGCACTATTCCTAAAGACTCTCCTGACGGTGTGGATGGAGAACGGCAGTGTTGCAAATGGCACTGTGCTGCTGGAAGCGCTATCCCAGGTGGATGCCGAGCTGGCGCTGCCGTGCGAGAGTCTCCTTCATCCCGCTGCTATGCTGCTGAGTCATGAATCCCTGCAAGCTGCTCCTTCTCGCATTGTAAGTCTAGCTGATGTTGCTGTTGCTGCTGCTGTATCTTCTCCTATACGTAGGTTGTTTGTTCATCTTGTGGTGGCATATCATGAGCATGCAGAGTATCACGGTGTGCCCTGCAACTGGACACACCCTTTCTTTCGTGCTATGCTTGCATCAAAGCTCAATCTCCCTCGCGTTTCTCTTTCTTCTCATGAATGTGTTGCTCTCAGTTCTTTACTGTGTGGCTATACATGTAGTGATTTGGAGGTAGTCGACCTCGTTGGGTGTAGCATTGGTGATGAGTCATTTCACAGCTTATCAGCAGGCTTACAGAGGTGTAGCAGTGTACGTGTACTAGATCTATCTGTTAATGATATTCATGATGGTCAGGCATTGTCCTCCGTGATTTCAGCCATGTCTGCTAGTCTTGTGGATGTGAGTGTCATTGTTAACCCTGTTGGTGTGAGTGGTTTTGTGTCTGTGTGCCGTGCACTTAGTCAGTGTAAGAATGTACACACTGTCCATGCCATGCACATGTATAGTGATGGTGCTGCACCGTTGTCTGTACTCTGTGATATGTTGGAGCAATGTACACAGCTGGAAGAGTTGTGGTTGAATGGGAATGTGTTTGTGGGTAGTGCGGATGATGAATTGAGATTCATTGAAGCAGTGAAGGTGTGTACACAGTTATGTTCACTGGCGGTGAATGGCTGTGGCTTGAGTGAGAATGTTTGTTTTCAACTTGTCACTGTGTTCGCAGAGAGGGAGTGTGGGTATGGCTTGTATGTTGTGTGAGTATGTAGACTGGTTGTGTGAGTGTAATGTGATTGTGACAATGTATGTTGTGTTGTAATTTGACCACACAGTCATGTAAACTCAGTAAATTTGTTGTAAATTCTTGAGAGAATGTAAAGTTTTGTATTGTTTTGTTCCCCTGTACACCCCTACCCCTAAACCCTGACCATGGATAGGTTTTTTTGCCTGCTTTTCTTCTTGTACATATTATGTTTTTGCTTGCTGCTTGCCTGCTTACTACTCTAATGTTGAGGACTGTTGTGAATAGATTTCTGATGTTTTCATGCCTATAATCATATCTGCTGCTACTGCTATGCTATGTTATTTTTTCATCATTGATTTATGAACTGCTAGTAATTAGTAAGTTCTATGTGGGTTTATAATGTACATGTACATCTGTAACAAGGTTCCAAGAGGACATTGTTTTTTTCACTCCGCTTACTCTTGCACGGCTGTATTGCTGGTGTTTCTGTTCGTTCCTGTTCATTGGGATATCTACATGTATGTTGCTGGTGCTCAGCCTTCATCTGTGATTGTCGAATTTTAGTAGTGGTAAGCATGCGCTTGTAAGTAAGACTGTGCGCCTATATCCAGATGTAGACACATGCGGCGCTTAGTACACAGTACATGTGCTCAGGTGCGTAGCATGCACGGGGCATGAGGGGCAAGTGCACCCCCCCCCCCCCCCCCCCAGCCCCTACAAATTTCGACCTAGGTTCAGCATGCACATAATGACCATGAATGACATGCACCAGCCATCATACACATATGCAGCTGTGCACACCCTCCCCCCTCCCTCCCCCTAGAAGAGGGGGGGGGGGGGGGGGGGCAGCTACACCCCTTCACTGTACATGTACATGTATGTACGTTACTACAGATCTCCAGTCATTGAAGGGAACAGGAGTTTGATTCTCAAAGAACTTTATTGAAAAATCCATGATTGTCAGTAAAAAAATGAACGGAACAATCCAAAGTTATCGCATGCCACAGTTATCGCATGCCATAGAAACTACAGGCAATTATAATATTCATTACAGTCACCAGAGTCCTACATAATGATCTGACGAGTATCGGGAGGTCGCTCAACAACCGTACAGACCTCTGCAGATTGCGTGAAATAAATTGCGCGCACGAGATCCGGGTGGCGTCAACTGGTTAATGACATCATCGACGAAGCGCTGCAACCTGTGTCTGGCCGAGAAGCTAGAGATTGC